TAAACCACAATTTATATCATCTTTAGATGGTTTAAGTATTATGAATTTTAATGTTACCAATGTCACATGTTATCATATAAGATTGACCTTGTATTTTCTTAAAATATTTTTTAGAAAATTAAATATTAACATCCAATAAACAATGTTATTTTTGTGGTTACCCTTTCTTTTTAAGTACACATCAGTCTTTAGCTAACTAATTATTTTCTAAATTAAGTACTATTAGCATGCATTAGTCTAATCATTACTTTGATTAGTCACTCAAATGACGAAGGGTTCAATACAATTATTCACTAATTTAATAATAATTCTCTTATAATGGTTGCATGCCTACTTTCTAATAGTTTTCTCTAAAAAAAATTAAAAAAAATAATCATATGGTATATCAATACAAATAAATCGAAATTTTATTTATTATTATATGGAATTAACTTAATCACACTTTTTTTTGGACCACATACTTTTTCTATTACAAAAATTAAATATAAAACTTCTTGTGTATAAAATATGACAATTTATTTTTTGAGTTATTTAGCTGGATCGGTCTATTCAAGATTTTTTTATCTTTATTCGGACTTGATGATAAAGATATAATCACTTTTATGGATTCGTTGAAAATGATATTCTTAATGGCATATTAGTTACACTTGCCATCAAAATAGAAATTAACTGTTTTCTTGTTCAAAAATATGAAATATCATTTGAATCATTATTTGTCGAATATATTTTATAAGCAAATAACTTTTTTTTGTTCAAGATAATAATAATTTTATCGTTAAAAATTATAAAATTGGACAAACATAATATGTGGATCAGAATATCCTAATGATTGTGTTTTAACTTTGTGTGTTTAACATATATTTAAAATGTGGAACAAACAAAAAGTATAAAAGTGAAGGAACAAAATTATGTCCAAAAATGGACCAATTGTGCTACTTTTCCTTTACATAACCTTTTTATTTTTACTTTCAAAATCAATTGAAATCACAAATTATTAAAATCACCAAGTGTCATTGCTTAAAAAAATCTGATTTCATTGAAATTTGACTTGTCGAAAATATTTTCAATGACATTTTGATGAAAATATTTATTGAATATTTACATTATTTTTAGTAGTGTATGAATCTGATCTTGAACTAAGAAAGTAACAAAAAACTTAAATTAGAATTTCGTGAATATGTTATGCAGAAGGCAAAAACTATACATTAATTTTTCTTTTAAGACTTTAAGTAGTTTAGTAGATATACCAAAATCTCAACTCAATCTTAATAATAATGATAAATCTAAAAAAATATAAAAAAAATTAATTAATTAAAAAATTAGTTCATCCTAAAAGTCCATTTAAAGTACAAATGCCGCACGAAGCTAATTAAGTAGTTTTGATTTAATCTTTCAAGATAATTTCCATAGAAATTTTAAAATTATTCCAAAATAATTTTTTATATATTTTAAAAGTGTAAATTCTTATACTATCAATGTGATTTAAAACATTATACAAGTTTTTTGACTTATTTTTCAAAAGTAATTGTTTCATAATCTAACGCTAAATAAGATTGACATAGGTTTTTTATGTTTAATGATAAAAGTTATATGTCGCTAATTTCTATTTAGTTTATATATATTGAATGTAAAAATTCCTTTGGATATATAAAAATATTATATCTTCTAATATTATTTATATTATTTATATTATAGATGGAAACAAAGATAGTGATGCAAAGGTAGATGTCACATGCTTATGGAAAATAAAATTAATTAATTTTTGATTGGTAATTAAAGAGTCAACGTGTCAAGATTAGAGGAGGTCAACTTTTAATCCTGACCGTTCAATTGAGGTTAGGCCACCAATCCGATTAGCCAAATCACCCCAAATAATAATGCTTTGTTTGGAACCGTCCCAAAAAGATAAAATTTAAAATTTTAAGTTTTGTCTTGTATAATAATTTTAATTTAACTAGTATCAACTTAATTGTCGTACTGATCACAAAGAGTTGTGATGAAAGGGATATAATCACTTTATCCTTAATTAGAAGTTTTCGACTTTCAAAGTTTAGGTGCAAAGATAGATTTAAAATTTAGATTTACGGTTATGGTTTAATTACCTTAGACTTATTATATTTTTATAATTATGGATTCAAATCTACTATGATGCAATCTTGGAGAATTATTACACATAAATATGTAGTTTACGTAAAAAAAAAATACATAATAAGGTTGCATCCAAGGGGGCGGATCCACATTGAAGGCTCTGGGTGTTCGGGCACCCATTAATTTCGTATCAAACTATATATATTTATATAAAAATATGAAAGATGGTATAAAATTAAACAGTGAACATTAGGGTTGTTTATGGCTATGGTTAAAAAAAAAACTAATTGAACCGCAATCCGAATCAAACCGATTAAAAAAACTGATATTTGGTTTGGTTTGGTTAGGTTTTCAAAATTTTGAAAACTGATACTATTTGATTTGGTTTTGATTTTACTAAAAACAAACTAAAAAAATAACCAAACCGAATCGAGAAATTAGATATATAAAATTTATAATTATTTATATATTACTCATAAATAAAATACAAATATTTGTTAAATTTTAATTAACTTAAGTCTTTAAGTTTACTATTTTCTCAAGCCTAACACTTAAATTTTGGCCCACTTAATTGAATCACTTTATTCGTGTAATAATAACTCTAGTATTACTTAATTACTTAATTGAACCACAATAACTTTCCTATGGATTGTTCATGTACTAGGTGTTTGTGTCTGTCAAGATATGTATGTCCTCAAAAATTTATTACTCTCAAATCGAAAAATCAGAAAAATCGAATCAAACCAATGATTATTTTTTTGTTTGGTTTGATTTGGTTTTAGAAATTTAAAAACCGACTAGATTGGTTTGATTTCGATCTGAACCACGAACACCCTAGTGAGCACCTAGGCAACAAGCAGTTGCTTGATGTAGTGGTTGTTTGTGCATGCTCAAAGTTATATATTACATGTGCTATGGCCAAGTTTTGATTCCCAGTATGGTGCTCTTTAAGTTAAAATAGCATGCAGAGCACGTTGAATAATCTTTATGAATTCTATCATCTCCCTAATGAATTACATTTTTATTATCACTGAATCTGCAATCAAATTCATCGTAAGACTCATAATACATAATCTTTTAAAGGGAAGCACTTTTTCTTTAATAAGCTTTACGAAACACAAATTCAAATTACTCGAGGCAATCGATATCAATATCAAGCATAGAGTGAGACACCAAACAATTGTAGTACTTCATAAAAAAAACGTTAAAAATCAACTTCATATCACAACCAGATCACCACTATGAAATTGTAAAGTAGTCATTTGATATTTAATTTGCAATAATGGTTGGCCAAGATATTGTAAAGTATTAATTATATGATCTTATATAATAAGAGACGTGTTTGTTTGTGTCGTCCATATGTGTTGCATGAATATCCTATATACATTTTTTTCTTTTTAAAAAAAACATATTTTAAATGTTTAATCCAAAAAAAAATATCAAAAGATTGTGTTATTCAAAACCCTACTTGTGTGATCAATAGTTTTTAGAAAATATCGTTATTGTAAAACCAAAACTAAAAAGAATATTTTGATACTTAAGTAACTAGTAAAGTCTGAAATACTTGCAACAATGACTAAAGAAAATTATTTGCAATTGCTGCCAAACTCGCAACAATGATAAAAAGTTATATACTTGTCAAATTTTTCGTCTTTCTTTTAAATCAAAACAAGTAACTAATAAGTCACTATTATCGTATTTTGGTCATTGTTGGAAGTGGTAGCTAATCTATCGTTAGATAACTCATAGCTTACATATATATTTTTTAATATAATTTTACATTAATTTATTATTAAATAAAAATAACAAGGACTGATAAATCACGTTAATTAACTATAGAATTTACTTGTCGTCATTCATATTATTTTTCAGTGATGCATCTCTACTATCTCACGCTTGCTTGGTGTTAGATTTCCATGACATAAATCCGAATTAGTTGGACCAGTTCAAATGTTATAAATATATTTTTAATTTTTAAAAGAAACATCAACATTTATTCTTCATCAGCCAATCCTGACCGTCCATTCTTCATTCAAGATCCATTAATATCAAAATCACGCTTAATAAAAAACAACGGCTGCACGTGTATTCTTTAATCATGCTCTGCAGGACCACTATATCATCCCTTTTTTATCACTTTAATTTAAAAGAAAATAAAAAATTGTATATAATTTTATTAATATGTTTTTTGTATATAAATAGGGGAGGGCATGAATGCAAAGAAATGATCACAATCATTTCACAAAATTCTATAGTATTTTTTTCTTTATTTTTCTTAGCCACCTTCAAAACACTCATCATCACCTTGTCCCCTTCTTGATATTTGATACCAAAATCCCTTATACTTTTCCACTTTGCCTTTTCCATAGCAAAATAGGATCAAAATACTCCTCACTATTTCCTTGTGTTTGTTGTGAGCTAATTCATCTAACCACTAAGTATCATATCTTAGTTATATTGATGAAATTGACGTGAGTTCGATTTTTACTGTTTTTTTTCCTTTTATTTTGCTTCTTGTGAGCAAAATCACTTCCAACTCTAAAACTCATTTTGCTTCTTGTGATTAAAGCCACCTCCAATACATACGTGTGCAGCTTGATAATATCAGTACTGAAGTCTTCTACTTATCGTAAGTGTGAATTCAATTCTCAATTGATTATTCCTGGTTTAACAACAACAACAAAAAATTAGGAAAAAGGGAAAAGAACCACCCCACCTAACCCTTATAACATCATATTTACTTTCCTTATTTCTTTTTGCCCTTTTCTTAGTACCTTGGCCTTTGATCATAGCTAAAATACACATGCTCATAACAATCTCTTTTTCACTCACCAAAATACCTCAAAAACTTCTCTCCTTTTCTTGAGAGTTGAGTACTCACCCTTCACCCCCGCCCCCCCCCCCCCATACCCCACCCCACCCTATTTTTTTGATTTGGAGTAGTAGTAAAACACAAGTTACTACTACTACTCCCATTTTCTTGGTTCTTCAATTATAGAATCAAAATCTTTTCCTTTTTTTTATCACTACCTACAAAGCCAATAGACTATTCTAATTTTGTCTCATTTTTTTTTTTAGTTAATTTGCTGTTTGTTAGTTTTCTTCATACAATGAGACAAGCACAACAACAACAACCATTTGCTGCTCTTCCGCGAACAAGCAGCTGCAAAAGCTCGAAAAAAATCATACCTGCAAATAACAATACTTATTCGCGGTCTTACTCTTCAACTACCCGTGATTATTCAACTGACAAATCTCTCGTTCTTCCTAACAACGGAAGCTCATCATCGTCTTCTTCGAACAATTTCAATCGATTAACCAAAACCCGAATCGGAGTTTCATCTCTCCTCCGATCACTAATCAGCATCATCTCATTCCCTTCCGTACTCCCTACTTGCCGATGGCTAAATCTCCCGAATCAGTTCTCAATTACCCCATCCCTCGGCCGGAAAGTCACCGGAACTTTATTCGGTCACCGGAGAGGCCATGTCAGCTTCGCCGTACAAGACGATCCGAAATCCGACCCGGTTTTACTAATCGAGCTCGCAGTTTCTACGTCGTCGTTAGTGAAAGAGATGTCGTCGGGATTGGTCAGAATTGCGTTAGAATGCGAGAAAACGGCGGCGCCGGGAGGTAGCCGGAAGAGATTAGGGCTATTTGAAGAGCCGATGTGGACGATGTATTGTAACGGGAGGAAATGTGGGTATGCAACATCGAGGTTATGTACGGATTCCGATTGGCATGTGTTGAGTACAGTGCAGAGTGTTTCCGTCGGCGCCGGAGTGATTCCGGTGGTGGATGATGGCCGGAAAATTAGTGCGGCGGAAGGTGAGTTGTTGTATATGAGAGCGAAATTTGAACGAGTTGTAGGGAGCCGTGACTCAGAAGCTTTTTATATGATGAATCCAGATGGTAATGGAGGACCTGAACTCAGTATTTTTCTTCTTAGGATATGAAAAATAGAAAAAAAAATTGATATGAAAATTAAAGAAGAGAAAAAGTTGAAATGATAATATTTATAATCTTTTTTTTTTTGTTTGAGTATTTTGAATTTATAGTGTGTTTAATTAGGTATATGTAATGTTTTTGGTTAGTGATTTTTTGTACTTTTTGTTGTAAGTTTTCTATATGTATATTTGCATGATCATATGCATGATTTCTTCTTCATTTCTCCTTTATTCTCATATAGATCGGTTTCAATGAGATGGATAGTTTCAGGTAATATTAATCAAATAACAATTAGATTTGAGAAAAGATTTTGATAAAAAGTGTTTTCTCTTTTTATGAAATTTATTTCATGTGAATTCGAATTAATTGAATCCTTCTTTTATATTAAAATGATGAAAAAGATGCTTAATATCACTAGAGAAGGAGAGAATAATACAATTATAGTTAAACTATTAATAATAAGTACTCATGATTATTGTTGAATTTATTGATGTTTATACATTAAACTACAAAATATATCTATTATTTGGTGTAGTTTTAATAAATTCTTAAGCATGATGCTATGTTCTATATTGAAATATTAAATTTATATGAATTCGATATCGTAAGATTAAACTTGTGATAGTGATCGTGCTAAAAGTCTTAAAGGTTCAACATTGTGAAAATTCAAGGTAGTACTATTCAATGTGGAAATTTTTATGTTTCGACATGGATAGCTAGATTCGGAAAATATGCATTGAGTGTTTATATTAAGCTATATATTTGTTGTTTGTGTTGAGTGTGTCTAAAGTATTTTTTGTTTGATCTTACGCATTGAGTGTTTATATCAAGCTATATATTATGTTTATTCTGATGCATTATTCTATGTCATTGAAAGTATTGACACAATTAACAGGTTGTTTGATCACTTCATCTACTTTTAAGTGATACAATTTTTTTGTTGAAAAATTATGTAATTGTTGAACATTATTTATCATGATTCTAACGATATCTTAAAACGAAAAATTGAGCACTAGAATTGCTCATAACAAAATTATTTTCCTCTAATTAATTAAACCACGTTATTGCCTTATTGGTGAAGAAAACGCGGAAGATTAATTATTAATCACTATTTGTGGGGTTTAAACCTATTACAAGCAAAGAAATGTATTTATGTAATGATTGATGCAACAACTGAAAGTTAAAATGATATTACTGGTTGATTAGAATAGTGTAATTATCAGTCTAGTAATTATTCAATTTAGTTATTATGTTGATAAGTTTGTTTGTCACAATGTAATTACAAATGTATTGTGTGGTTGCACAATTACAATTATAAAATTATATTAAATTTTATGAATAAAAGTTAATTATCTAAATTAAAATTTTATATTAAACAAATAATAGAATTTATAAATGATATTGAATTAAATATTTAAGATATATAATATCTTTTTAAAATATATTAATCAACAAACACATGTTCTTAATTAATATTATAAAAAAAACGATTTATGTTCTTTTCAAATTAATATATATGAATTAAATTAATAATAAAAATTAAAAGTATACGATTTCTATGAACATAAAATACATGTTTACAAAAAGATTAATGTTATAAACAATTAAACATAGTGTCATGAATTTCTAACTAAAAATAAATGACTTGAAATGTGAAATATCAAGTCAATATTATTAAAACAAATGAAATTGAAAATATAACATAAGTTCTAAATTTGAACAAAAATTTAAGATAATACTCTTATGTCAAATTTCAACATAACGTACATAAATATGATTTAAAAGAAAAGAAAAACGTAAATCTATAACTTTATTTAACAATGAATTTTCCTTCAATTTAAAAATTAGAATACTGACAAAATCATGCTAATGAAAAAAAATTAAACATAGAATAAACAAATAAAATAGATAATACGAAAATCGCAAAAAATCAGAAGAAGTTAAAGTTGAGAATGAGAAGGAAATGAAATATTAATATAAAATAAAAATAAAGATAAAAAGAATAAATTAAAATGTAATAGCTAGTAATTCACAATGTAATTACCAACAATTCACAACCCCTCGTTGAGAATTGAAGAGTGTAATTTTTTTATTTAATTACATGTTGATTAAGTAATTATATAAGTCAACCAAATATATAAAACAGTGTAATACTCAATACCATTAAATCTAATTATAAGGATGACTTTTCAAATCGGCTCAAAAATATAAAATGTGACAAACTAAACATACGAAGAACTTAGCTAAGAGAATTTGCAATTAACATCTACGATATATATAACTTAGCTAAGAGAATTTGCAATTAACATCTACGATATATATATATACTAGTAAAGAAAGCCCGGGCGCTGCCCGGACCCAACATTAATAAAGTTATATTGTTACTCTCTCCGTCCCATATTAGATGAGAATCTTACTAAAAATATTGTTTTCATATTATTTGAGCACTTATTAAATTAGGATAGAATTAATTAATTCTTTTCCATTTTATCCCTACAATTAATATGACCATTCCTATATTGTATGTGTATTTTTTGTAACTCATTTCAATGTGCATTGATATAAACAAAGGGCAAAATGGTGAAATCTTCCAATGTATTAATGATTTCTTAATCACCGTGTAAAGTTAGAAGTGTCCATCTAATATGGCACGGAGGGAGTATAGTTTATGTATTGTTATAAAATTAGTAAAAATTGTTATAATATATTTTGCTCATAAGTGAGCTAACATAGAAACTTATTTGTCATTTGTCTTTTTAATTTCAATTTTAAATAGCAAATAAATGTAGTGATAAGATTGAGGATAGAAATGAAGCATATCTTTCTAAATTTAAGTAAAAATAAACAGAGTAGAAGTAACATTAGGGTTATCGATAGGACGATTCATTCGGTTATTTTTAAAAAAATTATATCATTCAATTTTTCGGCTATTTTATAATGTATAACCAAAATTAAAATTTTAAAATCATCCCAATCCTAATTTATGTGACACAAGCAGTACAAAAATTAGTCTTTTTTTTGTTGTCTTGTAGATATTATAAGTTATTATTTATTGTAAATTATAGTACTTTTTATTAAAGTTTTTAATAACATATGTTACTTTTTATGTTTGAGAGTTAAACCAACTTTTTTTTATATGTCTTTTAATTTTATATGTGTTTTGTCCTTTTCCATTTTCAAAAACTAATACTCTTTCTGTCCAATATTAGATGAGAATCTTACTAAAAATATTTTTTTCATATTATTTGAGCACTTATTAAATTAGGATATAATTAATTAATTCTTTTCCATTTTACCCCTACAATTAATATGACCATTCCTATATTGTATGTGTATTTTTTGTAACTCATTTCAATGTGCATTGATATAAACAAAGGGCAAAATGGTGAAGTCTTCCAATTTATTAATGATTTCTTAATCACCGTGTAAAGTTGGAAGTGCCCATCTAATATGGGACGGAGGGAGTATAGTTTATGTATTGTTATAAAATTAGTAAAGATTGTTATAATATATTTTGCTCATAAGTGAGCTAATATAGAAACTTATTTGTCATTTGTCTTTTTAATTTCAATTTAAATAGCAAATAAATGTAGCGATAAGATTGAGGGTAGAAATGAAGCATATCTTTCTAAATTTAAGTAAAAATAAACAGAGTAGAAGTAACATTAGGGTTATCGATAGGACGATTCATTCGGTTATTTTTAAAAAAATTATATCATTCAATTTTTCGGCTATTTTATAATGTATAACCAAGATTAAAATTTTAAAATCATCCAATCCTAATTTATGTGACACAAGCAGTACAAAAATTAGTCTTTTTTTGTTGTCTTGTAGATATTTTAAGTTATTATTTATTGTAAATTATAGTACTTTTTATTAAAGTTTTTAATAACATATGTTACTTTTTATGTTTGAGAGTTAAACTAACTTTTTTTTATATGTCTTTTAATTTTATATGTGTTTTGTCTCTTTCCATTTTGAAAAACCAATACTCTCTCCATTTTATTTTATATGTCATTTCTTTTTATAAATATATTGGTTATTCCCTCTTCTTATTGGAACACATGTTGACTTGTGGTGAATATTTATTCCCTCTTCTTATATAGTAATATATTGATTATTCCCTCTTCTTATTAGAACACATGTTGACTTGTGGTGAATATTTATTCCCTCTTTTTTATATAGTAATATATATATAAACATAAAAAACAGTAATTTTAATTTTAATTTTTAAATATATCATATAATTTTCCGTCCAAAAGAATTTTGATGAACTCACTTTCCCCACGTGGCTCTGTCCTGTTAAATTTTACCAATTTAATAATGTAAATAAAGTGTTGTAACTGTGGACTTTTTCTTGGTAATAAACATCTATTGTTTAATATTGGACTTTATTTCTCAAAGTATGACTTAAAAGCCTTAAAAGACTGCTTTCATTTTGCAGCTGAAAAACATACAATGATTACTTTTTAGTCACCAAATGAATAATATAATCGTTGTGAATATCCACTCTCCATATATATATTATTGATAATGGTAGCGTTCAAGCCAAATTGCATATATCTTAGATTATTTACTTGACACTTTGTTGCATGTACTAATTAGTCAAATAGTAAAAAGATCTACATCGCAGGATTATTTACTTATCCTATATTTATGAAAAATGCAGTTTCTACCATTAGCAGCCTATGAAGATTAGAATTCGATGATATCAGTAATAATATTGTTTAGCGGAATTCAGTCATCATTTAGTGATATAGTGTAGAAATGAATAATGTAACTCTCAATATTTCAATATTCTACTATTTTTCTCAGATTCAACTGAAATATCAGGAATAATAGGATCTCTTAGGAACTTGTCTGGGAATGGGAATGCAACAAGGGTGAAAGAAGACCAACAACGAAAGCACTATGTTGGGGTGACACTAACATTGAGAAATAAAAGTTAGGGGAGCGAAAATAAGATTAGATACCCCAATAATCCTAGCCGTAAACGATGAATTCAAAGTTATTGGATGATTTCATTACTCAAAAAAGAAGAAGGAATATAGCTCTTTACGAGTAGTATCATAATTCATAACCTCTCTATAGGAAATTAAAGTTAAATCACAATGTAAACCTATTTATCAGTGAAGTTTAGTTGACAAGCGAATCTCATAGAATTATTTTTTTTACAAATGAGATAATTCATCTTAATTTTAATATGTAAAGTATGTTTTTGGCCGAGCTTCTTTTAAGGTTATTACTTCATACCACCACTTTTAAATTCAAAATTTCAAATGTAAAGCATATGTTACTTTTTAGTGTTTTTTAATTTACAAAATATCGAGTTTAAAATGGGATACAACGTAAATTATTCCGTAAAATTTAAATAGGAGAAATTACGTGGATAAACAAGCATATAGTAGTTAATTAGCTGACATAACTATAGTTTTCATTAATTACCACTCGCAACTTAATTTTAGCCATAATTAAGTCCCCTCTCTCCTCTCTCCTCTTTTATATATATACAAATACAAATTATACATATACAATTATATGACATATATACAAATACAATTCGCATCCCTCCACTCTCTGCCCTCTCTCGCTCGCCTCTCTCTTCCCTCTCCCAATCTCGCTTGCCAAATATAGAAACACATATGTATACCAGTTACATATATACAATTATCTAACAGATATACATATACAATTCGCCTCTATCCACTCTCTACCCTCTCTAGCTCACATCTCTCCTCCCTCTCCCAATCTCGCTCACATGATATACAAATACATATGTATACCAGTTACATAGATATAATTATCTGACATATATACATATACAATTCGCCTCTCTCCACTCTCTACCCTCTCTCGCTCGCCTCTCTCCTCTGTCTCCCAATCTCGCTTGCATTTTTCCTCTCTCTAACATATAGCTATGAATCGTAATCAGCAAACTATAGCTATCGAACCTAATTAAATTTATTTTAATGGCTATTTGCGAAATTTCCTCATTTAAATAAGTATAAATTATAAGAACCACATATTATAAGTACTAAATAACATCCTATCCCTTCTAGTTTTCTATTTACCAAAAATTCCTTAAAAATGATGTTTGCGGGATACATAGCGTTGTGCACGAGATACATTAGGTGTGATACATTCCACATAGCGGGATACATAGTGTTGTGCACGGGATACATAACGTTTGATACATTTCACATAGCGCGATACATAGCGTTGTGCACGGGATACATGCGGGATACATAGGTAAATAAGGGATTTTTGAAATAAGTAGGGATAAATGGATATTAAGGTAAGTAAAGGAGTGTAGTTAAGTAATTTGTCCTTTAAATAAAGGAGAATTGCCAAATACTAGGAATAGCCCATTCGGCATCAAACCATAAATGAATCGTTTTGGTAGCTGGATAAGAAACAACTTATATAAGTATTAATTCTAGGGAAAATTATGTATTATAGCAAACTATTAATTCAAAATAAATGTTATAGCTACAGCTTCATTTAATTCCAATTCGCAACAAACTTTTTGTCACTCGCCTCTCTCTCCTGAATCTCGCTCACCACTCTTTGGCTCCCCTCTCTCACTTTATACAAACACAAATCTATAAATTGTGTTTGTATTTGTATAAAGTGAGAGAGAACTGTATATACAAATACAATACATATTTATTCGTCCTATACACTTATAATTATATAAATACAAAAATTCCCCTACCTAGTTCTCTTTTGCCTTTAACTCTTTCTCTCTTTATACAAACACAAATTATACAAAAATACAATGTATAATTTGTGTCTGTATAAAGCGAGAGAGAGATTTGAGAGATTTGATATACAAATAACAAATGTTTTAACTCGATTCAATTGTATACAAATGCAAAGTTTGTGCAGATATACAAACACAATCATTAATACATATACATAGTAATTGCATATATACGATTTTCTAACCGATATACATATATAATCGCTGCGATTTCATACAAATCAGATGTCTGCGATTTATACAAATTAGATGCTAGTTTGCTATGGAGCGCGAATAGCAAAACTGTAGCTATCAAAAGCTTGTGATTTTTATATTTGTTATTCCTAAAATTTGCTTTTTATTTTATATAACTTATAAGATGTTGGTAGATGGATAGATAGGAAATAAATTATTCATTTATAAATTTAATATGATCTTTGATTGACAATTTAAAAATCCGCATAACTAGTACATATATAAATTACAAGAGATGTATAATTTATGCAACATAGAATATGAAATAACTAATACCTTATACATTTATAATTCATACATGTATAACTAATTCATAATAACTCTAACCAAGTACCAAACAATACTGAAAAGAAAAGGAAACACTCACACCAGTATAACAATTAGTGCGAATGAAAATGACCAAAATGGTCCTTAATAAATGGATAATACTTTATTTTGGTCTTTAATATATTTATTATTAAAAGGAAAAAAGGTCAAAAATATCTTTAAACTATGTGAAAGGAGCAAAAACTGTCTTCAGTTTATAGTTTGACTCAAAAATGTCCTTACGGTCAATACTTTGGTTCGAAAATGCTAAACTATGCGAAAGAAACAAAAATGTTGTCCGTTTGTAATTGGTCCAAAAATGCCCTTACCCTCCCGTTTTCATTTTGGTTTCTTAATATATTTTAGTTGATTCAATGGTCTGATTTTAAGCGAAGAAGACCTAAATCGAAATTCAAATTGATGGTGAAGATGAAAGGATGGTTAGGGCAAATGGGTTTCAACAAAAATGGCGGAAACATTAACTGGTTCCCTGGTCATATGGATGCTGCCAATCGTGCCATTCGCCGCCGGCTCAAACTCTCCGATTTTGTCATTGAAGTCCGTGATGCCCGTGTAAGTGTCTAATTCAATGTATTTTGATTCTATACTAGTAACACCTTGGTTAGCTAAAAAGTAGTGTATTTTTGTGTGAGATAACCAGATACTGCTTTGATACTTGTTCAAGAATATAGGCTAAAAAAGGATTAGTACTAAAGTATGAAGCTTTGGAACTGATCTTGAATGGAGTGCTAAATAAGAGATTGTTGAGTAAACAAACTTTATGTTAATAGACAAATATGTGAATTAAAGCTAAAAAGGAGTGATTTTTTTTTGGGGCATACTAGGAGAGACAAGATTAGGAACCATGATATATGGGCTAAGGTGGTCGTGACCTTTGTGATGGATAATATGCAGTAAATGCGATTGTGATGGTTCAGGCATGTAAAGAGGAGGGGCGCACAGGTTGTTAGTAATAGGCCAAATGAGAAGGTGCATAGAGGCTGATCGAACAAGAATTGAGAAAGAGCGATTAGACAAGACATGACGCACCTTCAGCTCATCAATGACCCTAGGCAAGAGAGCATGGGGGTTGAGAATTAGGGTAGACAATTAGTAGGATGTTGAGCCATTTCTTGCATTTAGGTCGGGGGCATGGATCTGGTTTAGAGCACTTTATCTTCTCTCTCTCTCTCTCTCTCCTCCTTACCAGTATTATTATGAAAGAGTACTTTTCTGCCATTACCTCATTTTTCATCAGTCGTACTACTATTGTTTCGTTTACATTAGTTACCCTTACTATTTCTGCTGACAATATTTTTCCTAGTTAGTATTGTTATGAAATAGGCCGAATAGCTATAGCTGACCCCAACTAGTTTGAAATGAAGTTTAGTGGACTGAGTAATTAAGTTAATTTCAGACTAAACATGTTTAAATTTTGCGTTTTTATGCAGATACCATTATCCTCAGCAAATGAAGACTTGCAGTCTATGCTTTGTGAGAAAAGGCGGGTGATTGCCCTCAATAAGAAAGATTTGGCCAACCCCAACATCATGCATGTACCTATTCTCTCTTTTGTACTCCCTCCGTTTCAATTGTTTGTTTGGTTTTGACTTGGCACGAAGTTTATGAAAGTAAAGAAGATTTTTGAATCTTGTAGTCTTAAACCTGCCATGTGGAAAGTTGAAATTTTAAAGAGTTGCGGAAAAAATGAAAGAGGCGTTCTTTTTTAAACGGACTAAAAAGGAAAGTAAGACAAACCTGATCCCATAACTAGTTATCTGAAGCCTTATGCATGTTTGTTTCAATAAACTAACGAAATTGATTAGTGTTTTGAGGAGTGCTTTGGCTTTCATGTGACACAAATAGTAATATAGCATAATGTCTTTTAAATAACTGTGCTTATTGAAGGAACTTTAATTAAATTTGGATTGGTTTGATGGTGTTCACAATTGTAAAAGTAAAGCTTACATTTTTTTATTTTATGCAGAGGTGGATCCGATATTTCAATTCATGTAAACAAGAGTGCTTCCCAATAAATGCACACAGTAGAAGTTCTGTGCAAAAGGTTAGCTAACATTTTATCTATGCTATTTAGATGGAAGCTTGTGGTTTAATGGCTTTGTATTATGTTGTATATTTCAAAGATGCAACAATAGTTATCCTTGAGCACTTTATCAATGTTATTGGTTGTAATGAGTACTTGTAGAACTTTATGTTAGTATTCTTAGAGTAATTTCAATTTTCATCAACTAAAAATTCAATTCTCAAGTACATTTTTGCCTGAAAAGATCTCTGACTCTTTATATTTTTAGAACTATTTGCTTCACTATTACTCCCTCTGTTTCAATTTGTTTGTCTTGCTTCCCTTTTTAGTCCGTTTCAGAAAGAACACCTCTTTGCCTTTTTCAGAAACTCTTGAATTTTAACTTTCCACATGGCATGTTTAAGACCACAGGATTAAAGGACATTTTGGTACATTCTACATATCTTTAGTTCAAGACCACAAAATACCAAAAAACTTCTTTACTTTCTTAAACTCCGTGTCAAGTCAAAACTAGACAAATAAATTGAAATGGAGGGTAGTGAAAAAACAGAAGAGTGGTGTAATTGTCAACCTCCCCCCCCCCTCCCCCCCCAAAAAAAAAAGAATAACTTCTTTCTGCTTTGGAATGGGAATGCCTACTTCACCCAATGAATATATTGCCCATTATATATGCTAGAAAGCAAAAAATATCATTTTTTTATCCTTAGTAGGCCAAGTACTATTAGTGCAGAATATAGTCAACTGCGACCAGATTAATGAATGCTGAGGGAGAAAGGTGCTTTTGATTTTATTTTTGAGTGAGCCAGACGTTAATAGGCTACCTTTCTTCCAAGATTTTCTGAAGTGTTCTTTGTTATTTATGTATTGAAGCTTCTCGATATTGTGGAGTTTAAATTGAAGGAAGTTATTACAAGGGAACCTACTCTTCTTGTCATGGTGGTTGGTGTTCCTAATGTCGGAAAATCAGCTTTAATCAATTCCATCCATCAAATTGCATCATCCCGATTTCCAGGTGAAACAATTGTTTTTGTTAGTGTTTCTGTTTTGTGATTCTGTATGACATACATGGTTCTTTTGGGATACTGGCATATTACGTCAAGCGCTGATGGTTTTAACCTTTGTCTTAGTGCAGGAGAAGATGAAGAGGGCTACAGTGGGGCCTTTGCCTGGTGTTACTCAAGATATTGTTGGATATAAGGTATGAAAATATTCAATAACTTGGATATCTGTTAGTTATTCAGTGATGGCTAAAATTGTGTGTGATAAATGGTGCAATGTTTCATTTTCCAAATTATACATTATAGTTTCTGTACTCCTTTGTTGTTCAGGAAAAATAATTTCTTTCATGTTGACCATATTCTACTTCACACCACAGATTTTTGACCCTAGATAGTAGTATATAGGGGTTGAGGATTAGGGTGGAAGGCTAGTAGGTAGTAGGTAGACGAATTTTTGTTTAGTACTCTCATACTACCTTATTTTTCAATTATTATTTTTTACCTGTTGTGCCTCTGCTTCGGTTATCATACTGTTTGTTGTTGCTATTGTTCTTTTCTCCATTATTTTATATATATGGTTTCTTCATTACTAAATTTCCTTTATTTTTTTTTACTGTTTTTGGATATTGCCGAGGGTATATCTGAAACACTCTGTCTACCTTCAAATGGTAGGGGTAAGGTTACATACACACCATCCTCGCCAGACCCCATTTGTGGAATTTCACTGTGTATGTTGTATCACAGATTTTTGACCGGTTTAGATATTCTATCTGGCTTGTAGATGTTTTAAGAGAAGTGTAAATGCATAGATGAAGCCCAAGAGATTATAGCTACGGGAAGGTTGAGCTTAGTTGCTTCCTCTCTGATACATTAGATGCTTCAGCAGAAGCATTAAGCTTTGCAGCTGGTGCAACTTGCAAGTCCCTTTCCTTCTTTTGCTCAGAGCTAGCTCAAGAGTGTGCATATTTTTGGTTGCACAATGACATTCCTAATAGAAGAGAAATTTTTATCTCTCTGAACCTGAAAATCCAGGATTTGAATTCGATGTCCTCTTATCGATTCCTCCTGATGTCCAATTACAGCCCGAGTGTCCAAGTATGTCGGAACTAAAGAACAAAGCAAGTGCATTTCATCATCAGACAACCACTCCCTTATCTGATGGGCCAATCTGTTACCTTCTCTAAGATAGTTATAAATTTTAATTGATGTCACCTCAATAAGAAAAGAGAAAGAGTTTAATACTTTAACTGCTTATAGAAATTCCCTTTTAGATGTAAAAGCGATATTCCAATTCTTATTGATGATCGGGTACCAAAAGCTGCTTTTTCATGGCCATAATTTCCATTAGTTGAGAACTTTAAGTCATTGAAACAGGCATCTTTTTTGTTACATGTATATTGAATTGCCTGCTGTTGCATATTAATGTTTCTGATGCTAATACATCGCTGTACACAGATTGCACATCAACCTAGCATATATGTGTTGGACACTCCAGGTGTGTTGGTTCCAAGTATTCCAGATATTGAAACAGGGTTAAAGTTGGCTCTAGCAGGTTAGTTCCTTTTCCAAGTTTACATTCTATTCGTCTAAAGAGTTTTTTTTTTAAAGCAAAAACGTCTAATATCAGCCTTAGGCAACTTGGTTTTATTAAACCTAAGGTTGTCTTTTTGCTATCAAGCATTGTAAGGAATGGTAAAGGGTAAACGATAAACCCCCCTATAAATGAGACAAAGAGCCCACCATATTGAAGCAGAGTCAATGAGAAACTATGGTGACCCTTTTACGATTCAACTTCACTTAGCCTCCTATGGTACCTGTATGATTGTGCAGGGTCCATCAAGGATTCAGTAGTTGGTGAAGATCGAATTGTTCAATACCTATTGGCAGTTCTAAACACCAGAGGAACTCCTCTTCATTGGAGACACTTGATCGGTAGGGAAACTGAGGGCCTTCATCACGAGTTGGATGACAAACCTGAGTATAATCTCAAGGATCTTCTACCAAAAAGAAGGAAGCCACCCAATAAATTTGATATCTACTACATAGAGGTAATACATGATGTTTTTTTTTTAAAAGGTCTAAGTTTTATTGATGAAATACTTAGAAGTGTAGTCACATGTGTACACAATTTGGAAAGTGTATGATCATAAAATCAAATTTAACCATATCTAATCCAATAAACCATAAAACTTCTCTTATTCCTAACTAATGGAGTTAAAACTACTTTAAATTTATTTATTTGGCATGAGTTGTACTATTTGATTGTTTCTTTCGCTTTGTTTATCTTATTATCTTGTTACTGCCTGTTATTACTGCTTCTTTTTCATCTCTCCTTGTCTTATCGGAAACAACCTCCCTACCATCACAAGGTAGGGGCAAGGTATGTGTTCACACTACCCTCCTTAGACCCCATTTGTGGGATTATACTCGGTATGTTGTTGTGTTGAAATCTGATACAAAGTAAGGTAAGCCATGCCATTTAGTTCAAGAAGAAGCCCATTATCATCATCATCTTCTTCTATAGATGTTATCATGTTTCCTTTGTTTATAGGATATGGTCAGTGAAGTCCAACGCACGCTATGCACCACACTGTCAGAGTTCAATGGTAATTTGGAAGAAGAAGGCGAGTTGGAGATTTTGATAGATCAGCAGTTTGAAGCTTTGCAAACGGCTCTAAAGATACCTTACAAGGCATCGGAAGGTCGCATGATGGTGTCAAAAAAATTTCTAACTCTATTTAGAACAGGCAAACTTGGTCCTTTCATCCTGGATGATGTCCCTGATACATCTGATTCTGCATCTTGAAATGTCATTTGCAAGGTATCAGTGTATATAATATGATATATCTTTTTTGAATACTTAAACCCTGATCAATCTAATACTAGTTTGGAAGTCGACTTAATAGACATATTTGCACTATGTTCCATGAATTATTTATGTTGCTTTTACTCTTTTTGATAATCGAGAAATACTTGAGGTAGAGGTTCACGATTCAAAAGTCAGTGGATAATGTGCCGGCCCTCTACCCTTCTCCACTTAAATATCCATTTGAATTTTGTTTATTGAAGAGTTCAAGCTCGTGACGTGTGTCTAACTCACATATCGATGTTGCACTCTTACTTACTAGACCAAAGCCATGAAGGCAGGTTGCTATTATCTAGTCATGCACATGCAATATCTCAGCCAGAAAGGAGCTCAAATGTTTGGTTCAACTCCCTTCAATTAATTGGTGAGACAGGGATATGAATATACAATCAAAACTCTCTATAATAATGTTGCCTAAAACTCTCTATAATGGTGTTGCCTATTCCAATGGTTTTTGGTTGTTATAGTTGAAGTGTATAGAAAACATCTTACATAGCTTAACATGAAAAATTGATTGTTATAGTAAAAATAGTCATAAAGGATGATTGTTATTGAAATATAGAATATAAGGTTTACTTGTCTATTGGATATTATCAGATTACTTTATCCATTTATAAAACCTTGACCAAATGTCTACCAAACACCATTTCTAGTTTATTTATCATTGCAAAGGATACATTAGTCAGAAGATAAATGATTCTCATTACCAATAAGAGTTGTGGTGGAGTGGTAAGTACTCATTCATCCTTAACCAGAGGTCTCAAGTTTGAGTCCCTTTGGTTACAAAGTCGCCTTTGTCAGGGAGCGCTTCATCCACCCCCACCCCCACCCCACCCCCAATGTGGGTCTTCCAGGCAAGAATCTGGATTTAGACCAGGCACCAGGCAGGGAAAAAAAAGGTTGTCATTGGCCAACAATGTACTGTACATGTGGAAAATGCAATATTAACAATTTCTATAAATCTAATTGCTCTCACATGGATCTATCAATGATTGTTTTTTTATCCTTCTTAAAAAAAAACGAAAAACACAATATCATGTAACCCAAAAAAAAGTCCAATACCAATAGTTACCACCCATTACAAATACAGTATACCTAATATATCTCCACAAGTGGGGTGTACACAGAACCTACCCCTACCTTTGTGGGGGTAATGAGGTTGCTTCTGATAGACAAATAATAGTGTGTGAAGAACAATCTTTCAAACCAAATGATTTCTGGGAGCACTCTTTGTTTCTTGATCACTATCGAACTTTCTGACAAATTGAGGACATTTGATGTGCAATTTCAAGTATAAATTGAGCTAATACAAGGTATTAGGCTGTTTAAAAAATGACCAGCCCAGGAAAGAAATGATTTGCGCCAACTAAGACGTGCTTTTTTATGGCTATATAGTTCTGAAGATGGATGTGAGAGGAAGAAGTGGCATTTAGAAATGTTGATGACTTAGCATTTAGGTTTCGTCATAACAAAGCTGGGAAGGATTATCTTAGGAACAAGATAACTCTAAATCCTCATTTATTTGCTCCGATTAACTCCCTATACTCTCTCTTCATTTTTACACCTGATATGGTCCTGCATATATTCAAGCAGCCAAATTAGAAACTTTTGAGGCAACAATTGTCACGCTTTCTAATATTCTCTTCATGAATGCCCTATTTTGGGGTGGTCTTTAATTTTTGCTCTTCCGCACTTTCAAGTAATAAAAAGTGGTTGAAAATACCGACATCAAAATCACAAAAAAGAATTTACAAGACAGGTTCATAGTTTTGTATCATAACATAACAAGTTATGCCGCTTAATTCCTACAAAATAATGGCATAAGGCATAAGTTCAGTTCATAACCCACAAGTTATGCCACACAAGACATAACTTAGTTCTTATCGGCATAAATTTAGTTTCAGAACGTTATGCCTTAAGAAGTTTATAACCCACACGTTATGTCTTATAGTTCCTACAAAACTTAAGTCGATGGAAGCATAAGTTCTATTCCACAATCCACAAAGTTATGCCTTAAGAGACTTTAACTTTTTCCTATTGCAAAAGATCTCTAAACTTTTGCCTTGCGAGATTAGGTCATAGTTCAGGTACTTTGACCCACAAGTTTCCACTAAATAAGCAGTAAGGGCGCAAATTAAAGACCACCTCGAAATAGGGGCAATCCGTGCAAAAACTTGAATCTTGAGGCAACACACATTACACTTTCTAACATTCATTTTAAAGATCGAAAGAAAAGTGGGAGCAAATGAATGCTGCAGAAGTTAATATAGGAGAATGGAGATGGATGGCAATGCTAATAGCAAAGTGACATTACCTAGTGTTTACACCAAATCATTCTACTTAACCATGGTTAATTCAAAAATTAAGGTTAGAACGTGTATTAATTAACTATGGTTAGAAATAAGAGTATGTTAAGATATGTGTGCATTAGTATAGTTCTAACATCTGATAGTAGTGCAGGGGGAGTGGTGTTAGGTGATAACTCATCAATAGCAAAAGTAGACAAACAAACCTTTAACTGGGAGCTATGAGGTAGTTGCATGCGTATGATTTTATTAAGGGGAATATTTTCTCAAAAACGTTTATGTCGTGCAAAAAGGAAGTCAATCATTAAGAAAACTGTTCACTGAGTAAATTGAAACTGATACTAGAAGAATTCACATTTCTGGCAACATGAAGTTCATAGCGCTTTAACCCGAATATAGGCATATCTAGTTGGTGTTCGTGAGATCTTAACATGAAAGAAGATTTCTTGCATGACTTGATGCAAACGAAGAGTTAAGAGAAGACAAACAACCGACTATGTTATATAAAAAATAATGTTAGACAGCAGGCATGCTATGAAGAATGAGTATAACCAACCTGAGCATTTCCTTATTCTTGAAAAATTGTACACATGGAGTACCCATAATTTCAGCTGCCTCAGCAATCTCTGGGTCTTCAGTAATGTCAATTTCAACAAAGTGGACATGCTGGTCAAATTCATCAATTACCTGTTGCACAACCACATACTGAGCAGTCAGTATTATGGCCAAAGAGTCGGTACACAGTAGAGGAGCCAAAGGAAACAGATCAGTGAGCAGAAATAAGGTTATGCGAGAGCAGCCCGGTGCACAAAGCATCCCACATTCACGCAGGGTCCAGGGAAGAGCCGCACCCCACGGAGTGTGATGTAGACAACCTACTTTAATGCAATCATTACTGACTGCTTCCACTGCTCGAACCCATGAATGGTGACAATAAGGTTATGCAACTTGCAATAAACTGTCACAGCGTTCGAATCTGTGACTTGCCCTTAAACCTACAAATTATGCGCTCTTACCACTAGACCAAAGCACTGGTGAGTGGGGACAACCCCTCATCTAATTCTTTTATCTTCTAGCAGAAAGAAATTCACAAGACTAAAAATTTCCACATATATCTTTGGTGTTTTTTCTGTCTTTGGCGCAGAAGTCACCGAGTGAAATGTTAAATTGAGTTCTAGTGTTGCTCTTTAAATTGAGCTCTTTAATGAACAAAACACTTTCTTGCTACTTCTATGATAATAAATCTTCATTAATTATATATATATAAAAAATTCTATTGAAATTTCAGAAGTCCTCAGCTTTCTTCAAAATGATGGACATAAAATGGAAAACTAAGCTCCCGTTTGGCCATAGATTTTGAAGTTGAAACTTGACAATTTGAGTTTTTGAAGTTGTGATTTTTGGAACTTGAAATTGTGTTTGGACATGCATTTTACTTGGAAAAAATTTGAAATTTTGTGGGTGTTAGTCCCAAAAATTAGTCTGAGCCAACTTTTGGGAACTTGATTTCAAAATCTGATCAAATTTCATGGCCAAACCGATACGGGCATGCCTGACGAATTATCATGTTTGAAAGGATTGAACAATGTCCCCCTGTTGACAGAGTGGGTCACTTATCCTGGAATATAAATATGATGTATGTCTATATAGAAGTAATGAATTGCCATACCTTGCTAAGAATTGGTTTCAAAGTCCTGCATGGACCACATGATGGCGATGTATATAGTACACACAGAAGCCTTGGGCTCTCATGGTACAATTTCCGCAAAGCATACTGAGAAAGAAAAACAACAAAATTCAAGCAAAGATAAAATGCTTATCAAAAGGATAATTGGTTACAAGGGGCAATTAGAAAAGATCTAAGCTTCCTAAATCTCATACCTGGCCCTTGTGTTTCACATATGTTATATCAAAACCTTCTTGAACATCTTTCTCCTTAAGTTCCTTTTTATTATCTTCAGCTTGCGGCTGATGATAGAGGAAGTTCAAGAGTATCAGTCAGATAATTAACTATCGGTTCCAAGTAAGAAGCCATCTGCTTGGTGTGTGTGTATATATAAGGATGTCTGGAAGTGATTTTTGTTTTATCAAGTAAAGTAAAAATGTCGTGGAAGTGAATTCATCCTATTTCTCATTTTCTTTTTTGGATATGAAGAAATGGAGGTGCATAATCTTTTAAACAGGAAAATATGCTTAATGTCGATAAACAATATCTACCAGTTAGCCATTGCAAAAGATTGAATGTTAAATGTCAAATTCCACTTGATTAAATATCTATTTGCAAGCATAACAGTGGGGAAATATAAAATGACTTCTAAAAGAGATATATAGCTTCATAAAATCAGTTCCTTTTAGAAATCAGATACCTGGTGAAATTCAACCAGAAGATTTTTGCTTGTAAGATATCTCTCCACTGATAGAGCAGCTAAACATCCAGAGCCAGCTGCAGTTACAGCTTGCCTCCATTCATGATCCTACGTACAAACAGTAACAATGGTATGAAAGAGTGTCCTGGCAAGACATTGCAGCAGAAGACAAGCTTGAGTTTCTTTTGAACACGAAAATGAGAAAATTAAAGAACTTACTTTTAACAAGACATTAAAATTGTGTGTTCCTGCTTATAAAAAGGAATTCCGCATGAGCATTGTATACAGAGAACAAAGACATTTGAAACATTCCATGAGTTTTATTTCAGCTCCCCTCCTTTTGGACGATCGGAGTACATTAAAAAAGGTCAAGAGAACCACTGTTTATATATCATTTTCATTAGATAGCTTCCCTCTCTCACTGCACACCTAAAATCTAATTTCTGAAAGAGGGAAAAACCAATTACTCATTCAAGTATCCCTGCTAAACAGGGTATTTGTTCTCTAAAATATTTCTTTACTTGAGACGTTTCGAAGTCTAGACTAAACCCGTACAGTGAATGCAGACTCATAGAGGTTTATGTCTTAAATCTCAGGAAACAACACGAATAATTAACCGGAACTTTTTTGTGAGCAGAATCATCATTCAAGTACTAGATAATAAAGGAAAACAATAGGAATGGAAGAATGAATTTCTGTGCATACCTGGACATCTCCAGCTGCAAATACACCTTCAACAGAAGTTTTGGCAGTGCTCTCCTTGACTAATATATAGCCTGCACTATCAAGTTCAACTTGGCCTTCCAAGAGTTTACTATTTGGAGAATGACCGATACCATAAAATAGGCCTTTTGCCTCGAGCACAGACTCTTCTCCTGTATCAACTGTTCTGATCAAAATGCCCGACATCTGGCCTTTAGAGTTGCTGACAACGTCAACAATCTCAGTGTTGAAATGCACAGTGATGTTTGGATTGTTAAAAACTCTGAAACATTCACCATAATCAACCTGTTAAACAATCATGCAGGGAGTTGAAACTTGAAATATATGACTCATTAGTAATTTTATTGGTTTGAAAAGGAAAAGATCAAAGAAGTATGTAACATTGTGACAAAATGATATATATTGCACAATGACTAAAGACAACAAGAGCTGAAAGGCACAAAAATAGCCAGCAATAAGCTGAAGTTAGCTGTCCTAAGAAGCACAAGAAGTACCAGTTTAGCCAATTATTCAATACTTAAGAGGATTGTATGTCCTATTAAAACATATAGTTGCAACTTGCAGGTGCATTCTGAAATCACATGCTGAGCATAAAGAGCACATCCACTAATTTGTGTTCAAGGATAACAGGATAACACTCTCAAATGACTACTACAGGATTGGTCCATCTTCCAGAACTACAGGATAATTGCCTAGCACCACTGGCTGTTTTACATAACTTAAATACTCTTAGTTATCATTAAGAACTTCTGAATTAGGAAAGCAAATCAATGGAGGAAGAGTATTATTTGAGTCAAAGTCCAAACAAGGGCCCTCCTCTCCCCTGATGCACAAAAAGGAGAAAAAGGCTGGTTACAATGTCGATTTTAAGAAGAGCTCTATTACAGTGCGCTGTAACCTTGATTTTTAAATTGTGAAGTACCCCTATGAGCAAAATATATATGAGTATTGTTCTGTGAAATAACTCGAATTTCAAATCATTCACTTGCTTTAACTACTCGTGCTATGGATGTATATTAGAGAGGAATCACAAAATGAGATCATAAAAATGTGTACTACCTGTCTTGCATTGCCTTTGATGCCCTTAGTTGGTCCCTCCTGACAAGTAAATGGACATGGCTTGCATACTTTGTTAAGTATATTGCTTCCTCTGTAGCTGTATCACCACCTCCAACAACAGCAAGAACCTGACCCTTGAAAAGTGGTGATGCTCCATCACAAATTGCGCATGCACTAATACCTCTACTCCAAAATTCATCTTCACGAGGTAATCTTAGCCTTTGAGCTCTGGCCCCCGTTGCTATGATAAGACTATGGCACTTGATCTATAATTTAAAAAGTCAGTAGTAATCCTATAGAAGGACTTAATAGTGAGAATTGAGTGTAGTGTGACAAATAAGTTGAAATTAAAATTGGTGACAAGTTTGACCAGCTCATGCCAAATCTTTTTCCAATTAGTTAGTAGCTGGAAATTCCATAGCAATTGTTGAAACATGCTATAGCAAGTAAGTTAGTTGCTGAAACTTTCATACCTATTGTTGAAATATGCTACACAAGTCTGTTATTTGCTGCAAGTTTCATTATTGAAATATACTATAGCAAATAAGTTAGTTTTTTGTTTTTGTTTTGATGACATGGGAAACCCGCAGCCGCTACCCTTTGGGTGCGCATAGGGTAAAACCCCCGCTCCTATGCAATAGCTTGCAAACCACACAAGAGAGGTAACCCGCACTAGGCAAGCCTGGTGCGACGAGCTCGACCCAAAAGGCAAACCCCTTGCTTTCGCTGGCAAGGGGTTTCGAACTTGAGACCTCTATCATGGAAGTCCCAACCCCAAACCACTAGGTCATCCCGAAGGGTGCAAATTGCTCATGTAATCAACCGAAAATGATTGCATCAATCATATCTATAGATAAATAGGGTGATGTAATCAACTTAAACTGAGTAAATTGATTGTATTAATCATATTTAATTGAATCGGCTATAGCAAGTGGATTAATTGCTGGAAATTTCATAGCAATTGTTGAAATATGTTAGAGCAAGTTGAGAAATAATAGACAATCAATATAGCAATTATTGAGAATTTCCTAGCAATTGTTGTAATCTGCTGAATCACTTTACCAAATATTCATGTCAATAATTTAGTTGTTGGTTAAAGATTTCTGTTTTGTTTAATGTGGTGAAGTTAAAATGGCTCCAAGGAAAAGAAGAGCAACAACTACTACTAGAAAGCATCAGCATGATATACCTATCCCGGAGGAGGAGTCATCTCATACTGTCGAGTTCTTTACCCGACACCTCCTTTGTTAGGCTTATTAGGTATTCGAATTACAACTTTGAGACCACGATCGATAGGTATCTAGATTTGACGGGTGTTGTTACTGTTAAGTCAGGATAGGATAAGTCTTTTTTTTAGTTTAAAAGGGTCTTGGAGGAACAAAAATTGGAAAAGTTCTTTAGATCTTCCATTTTCAGGAATCACCTACAACTACCTTCTTTTTTTTTGATAACCGAAAAATCTGTCTGTGACCCGCCCTTTGGACCAATCACAGCCTTCTAAACTCGATGGATAATGGGCCCGCCCCTCTACCCTTCTCCACTTAAATACCGGGCTTTGCTTTGCATGGTGTGGGGCTTGAACCTGCGACCTAAGCCACAAATCCTCCACCTTTTGCCAGTTGAGCTAGGCCTTGGGGGCAATCACCTACAGGCTACAACTACCTAAGGATATCAATATAAGATTTCAAATGAATACGGTGTACTAACTTCTTCAATGCTGAATTTATAGCGATTGAATAAAGGAAGTTTGGATAAACTATTGCGGCATGCCGATTTATTTTGGCATGAGAGAGTTTGCCATTGTCACTGCTTGAATTGTCATTTGTGTATGATGAAGAAAAACTGTCAACTAAGACAAAGAGGGAACAACAAATTTTTGACATAATGGGGAAGAGTTGCAAGGAGAATGAGCATCTCAAATTTAAGAATGTTCGTAAAGGTGTGAAGAAGTCGTGTAAAGAAGTCATTGTGCTTGCTTTATTTTGTGCACAACATTCTTTTCCAGAACATGAAGATTGCACTTGAATGGGTTTTTCTTTTAGCTGATAGAGATGCATTTCCTGCCTATCCATGAGCTCGTGTTAGCTACGATCTTACAATTAAATATCTATTGAGCGCGGTTAATTCAAAAGTGAAGATCACCAATCTTTATGGCTTTTCATGGTAAACTTTATTTTATTCAATGTTTTTTAGTCTATTCAATATTGTGATACTCTCTCTATGATTATTTTATTTAGTGTTGGGCATTGAGGGTATTCCTTCCCTCCGAAAAAAATTCAAATTGTTTTTGAAACAAGTGTCTTTGTCGATGATCCTTTGATGGCTTTCAATAATTAATAACAAATCTGTTGAGACTCATGAGTTGTTTGATCCCCATGAGGACTCGATAAGCATCATTTTACATTTATCTACCCTTGGAAATACCCCTAAACAAAAATATACCCTTGGAAATACATGTGATTCTTCTTTAACATGCGATAATATGAAAGACATTATGTGTAATGTCAACAATACATTATTTTTGCTGCTTAGCACTCCAAAAAAATATACCTTTGAAAATACATGTGATCTATTTTTTTGGAGTTCATGGATTCACTCATTATCCTATGTGATCTTAAAATAAAGTTTACCATGAAAGCCCATGGAAAGCCATAAAGATTGGTAATTTTCACTTTTGGATTTACAGTGCTCAATAGATATTTGATTGTAAGATCATAGCTAACTCGACCCTGTGGATAGGCAAACAATGTATATCTATCGATTGAGAGCAAAATCCATTCAGGTGCAATCTTCGTCTTCAAATCTTTTCCACAAAGAATGTTGTGCACAAAATAAAGCAAGCATTATGACTTCTTCACACCTTTACGAGCATCCTTGGATTTGAGATGCTTAACCAGCTCATTATCCTTACAACTCTTCCCCACTACGTCAAGATAGTTGAGAGTTTCTCTTCATCATACACATCTAGCAAATGACAATTCAAGCAAGTGACAATGGATCCTACACAGTTAAAGCATGCTACCTTCAACAAAGCTCCAAGAAGACCGTAATTGATCAATGGCCATGGAAATTAATCTGGAGAACTAAGTTGCCACCTAAAGTTATTTGTTTCAGTTGGATTACTCTAAAAGACTCTTGCTTGACTCAGAATAATCTCATGAGGAGGAAATTCCAAATAGTCAACAGATGCTACATGTGCTTGTGCAACTCAGAATCTATTAATCACTTGTTCCTTCATTGCACAGTTGCAACAGGCCTATGGAACATGTTCTTCTCACTTTTTGGACTCACTTGGGTCATGCGAAGATCATTGAGAGAGGCTTTTGTGTGTTGGAGTTCTTGGAAAGTTGGGAAGTCCGTCAGCATATCTGGTCTTTGGTTCCAGCCTGTATTTTGTGGTGCTTATGGACGGAGAGGAACAAAAGATGTTTTGATGGCACCCCAACTCCCATCTCTACCTTTAAAGCAAGATGTTTGATTACTCTTTTTGGTTGGGTTAATCTCTCTCCTGTACTTAGTGTCTATTCTTTCCTAGAATTTATTAGCTCCATAGATCTCTGCTGTTAGCTGTTTAGATAGCTTTTTTTGCCTTTTTGGGAGCTGATATTTCTTTCTTTTGTAATCTGTGCATCTGCTTGATGCTTTGTTAATGACATTCTTCTTACTTCATCAAAAAAATGGAAAACTCTCTCATGCCAAAACAAACCTGCAAGCCACAATAGTTTATCGCTATAAATTCAGTCGTCAAAGAAGTTGGTACACTTTATTCATTTGAAATCTTATGTTGATATCCTTAGGTAGTAGTAGGTAATTACCGAAAATGGAAAATCTAAAGAACATTAAGGGCTCGTTTGGTGTGAGTATAAGGTATGATAATTCCAAGATAAAATGTAGGGTTATTTTATCCCATTTTGGTTGGAGGCATTAGGTAGTCATTGGATTAGTTATCCCACCATTTTTGTCATAGTGATGGGATAACATATACATGGTGGAATAAGTTATCCTAGGATAAGTTATCTTGGGATAACTTGTTCCCAACCAAACAACCCTTAATAATTTTTGTTCCTCCAAGATCCCTCCGAACTCGAAAAAAAGACTTATTCAATCCTGACTTCATAGTAACAACTCCCGTCAAATCTGGTTACCTATGATCGTGGTCTCAAAGTTGTAATTTGAATACCTAATAGGCTTGACAAAGGAGGTATCAGGTAAAGGACTGTTTGGAGAGGACTCGGCAGTATGAGATGTCTCCTCCTCTAGGATAGGTATATTATGCCGGTGCTTTGTTCTTTGTTCATCCTCAACTCCTCTATCCTCACATTCTACATTCTCCTTACTTTTGGATTTATCATCTAAGGCATCTACATTTGTGGTAGAAACATATGTTCCACCTCTGTCTTCTTCTATAGACTTCTCCAACCTTGTGTTTTCTTCTTCTATTCGTCTCTGTGTACTAATTCTCCTTCTAGTAGCAGTTGTTGCTTTTCTTTTCCTTAGAGCCATTTTATCTTCACCAAGTGAAACAAAACAGAAACCATTAACTTATTTAACCAACAACTAAATAATTGACCTGAATATTTGGTAAAGTGATTCAGTAGATTACAACAGTTGTTGCATTGATCGTCTATTACTTTACAACAACTTGTTATAACATATTTTAGCAATTGCTATGAAATTTCTAGCAATTTACCCAATTTAAGTTGATTACAACACCTTATTTATCAATAACTGTGATTGATGCAATTAATGATCAATTTACTCAATTTAGGTTAACTACATGAGCAATTGTTATGAATCTTAACGTACTTGTGTAGCATATTCCAGCACATAGGTCAAAACCAGTGCATCACAAGGAGCTGTTCCACGAAGATCTAAAAGATTAAGCTACAAGTAAGACAAGCAAGTGCTTTAATGGGGAAAGAAAGATAAGACTTAAGCAGCACCTGCAACCAAACGGAAGCATCACCTTACGTTCACTACTTCGTACAGTAAAAGGAGTGTTCTTGACATCAATAAATTCCACATCTTCCTGAAACAATTCGCCTCCCCATCGCTCAGCTTGTCGTCGCATCCTAGCAAACATAAGGTTAGGATTGAGACTTTTCGCTTATAACCGAGGAAACTTGGAAAAAGAACAGCCCAAGGTATTCTTGTACCTATCCATTAAGTCAGGGCCAGTTATCCCATCAGGAAACCCAGGGAAGTTTTCTACTTCAGTTGTTGTCATTAATTGTCCTCCTGGAACACCACCCACTTGAAACCCCTCAAACACCACGGGCTTCAAGTTGGCCCGAGCAGCATAAATTGCTGCTGTATACCCAGCAGGACCTGATCCTACTATTACCAAGTTCTCAATACCTTGAGCTGCAAAAACCCAAAAAAAGAACAGAAAATAATTAAAATCATAACTAACATCAGAAACTAATGAACTATGCAGCAACCCAGCTATTGAGGTTATCGCCTAATTTTGTGTTATTCATTTTGATTTAGCTTTTATTTATTTGCTGCAATTATGCCTAGATTGTGAATAATAGGATATGTAAGTTGTGACCTATGTGATCGGTATAAATTCTCAACCAGCTTCAGGGTATAATCAAGAAAATAATCCTACTCAATTAAAAAAAACAGCAAAAATTATGTACTCTGCTGCAACAGCAATTAGAATTGACTCTGTGCTATGGAAACTCAAGAATATCTTTGTCCAAAACAAAGAGAAAGCTAAAGATGGAAATGGAATAACGTCATTAAAAAGCCATGCCTTCACATTAACAGGAAAGTTGAAGAGGATCTACTCTAACATTGCTTTCTTCATGCACCAGTTTTTTAAAATTGTAACAGTTTTGGTGCAAGTTCGGGGAGACAAAATGTAATATTCCATCAACAACTACCAATGGAGTATATTTACAAATCCAAGCGCTCATCAAACGCGTCAAAATGATCCTTCTTGACGTAGTGCCAATAGAGGCAATTCATCAAAGCATAAGAAGATCAATATGGCATGTCAAGGACCAAACTGACTAATTTATTCAAGCACAAGTCATCCTTTCTTACTCTATACCCGCTCTATATCAAAATTATCAGTGTTACCGAGCTGAAGTGTAGACAAATATAAAGCTTTCTTATCTAGAATTCGAAGGTCAATATTGTTAAATTAGGTCTTAGGCCTAACTCACACCCCAAAAGCTAGCTCAAAGGGAGGAGGATTGCCCAAGCCTTATAAGGAGTCCACCCATCTCATTAACCACCGATGTGGGACTTTTGTCATTCTTTAACACCCCACCTCACGCCTAGTGCGTGGGCAATTTTTGATTTTGGGGGCCCCAACATCGGGTGAGACGGGCCCTGCTCTGATACCACTTTGTTGGGAAAAAGCAGGTGTAATGCGGAAGCTAGCAAAGCAAACCTCGAAAGATCACGAGTAAGAAGACAAACGAGAAACACACCAAAAGAGACAGATTTAACGTGGTTCGGTCAATCGACCTATGTCCACAAAGGAGATGAGCAATCAACTATAAATATGAGAATACAAAATATAGAGAGAAACAACCTCAACCAATTCACTCGAAATACAAGGAGGTACACAAAATTCTCCTCCATAACCGCAACTCTCAAAACCCTAGGACTACATTGTGAATGTTGATTAAGTTAGAAGAAACAGACCTATATTTATAGAGTCCTAAAACCTTTCCTACAAGAAAAGAACTACTCAAAATATTAAAACTTTTTCCTAAAAGGAAAACCTATTTATGGTAAGAAATCAGGGCAAATAAGCCCAACAAATCTCCCCCTTGGTCTGAATTTCTAACAAAATAAATTTGTCCACCTTCTTCACATAATCTTTAGGATCTTGCATCTCTTCTCCATAATCTCCTCCATCAAATCTACGTCTCGACACAGAGAACCTCTCTGAAACAGTTTCTCCAACAAAATCTTTATTACTGTAAAAAAGGTTGCGACTAGAACTACACCCGCCAAGATAAACACCCATCTCTAACATGGTTCCATCATTGAACCATGACTTTGATACCATGTGAGAAATATAGGAAAAAAATATTATTGAATTGTGTTGTTGTGTCTACATTATTACATTGAGACCCTATTTATAGACCCTAGAATACAATCCTTTACCAAGTAGGATACTATTTAGTATTCCTATTTCTATTTCTATTCTTATTCCTATTCTAATAGGATTGTATAAACCTATTCCTATTCTTATAGGATTGTATAAACCTATTTCTATTCTAATAGGATTGTATAAATCTATTCCTATTCTAATAGGATTGTATAAACTTATTCATATTCTAACACTCCCCCTCAAGCTAGTGCATACAATTCATGTACCTAGCTTGTTACAAATGTAATTAACACGAGGACTGATGAGGGGCTTGGTGAGACATCTGCGAGTTGATCACTCGACTTCACAAAATTGACAATAAATTTCAATGTGCTTGATCTTCTCATGAAATACTGAATTTGATGCATAATGCCGATAAAACACAGAGTGATGAAATTACAGTGTTGGAACTTCCCAAACCAAGCTTGCAAAACTGTTTTAGACCATAGAGTGACTTACGTAATCAACATACAAAGCTACTAAACTCCCCCTGAGCAACAAAATTAGGTGGTTGCTCCATATAGACTTCTTCACAATGCAGCGAACATTGTAAGTGCTCAAAATCTAGTATAAAGTACATGGTTCATGTTGGAATCAATAGACAGTTGATATTAAACAAGTCACCGAAAAACTGCCCGAAACATGCTCAGATGCCGGAGTATTAGATTTGATGGGTAAAAGTGGTCACAATCTAAGAAATAAAATTATATGGGTAGGGTCGGAATGATGTCACAATCCAACTAGAAAATAGAAATTATATAGGATAGTTCGAATTGATGGAACGACCCCATTGAAAAAGAGAAATAATATGGGTAGGGTCGGAATGATGGCACGACCCTACTGAAAAAGAAAAATAATATGGGTAGGGTCGGAATGATGGCACGACCCTACTGAAAAAGAAAAATTATACAGGTAGGGTTGGAATGATGGCACAACTCTATGCAAATCAGATTTAAGGAGTCACCGGAAAGACGAATGGAACTATGCAAATCAAATCTGAGAAGTCACTGAAAAGACACATGATGCTATGCTACTCAGATATGAGAAATAGTTCGAAAAAATCCATGGTACTACACAAATTAAATATGAAAAGTAGTCCGGAGAGATGCACGATGCTATGCAAATCAGATATGCAAAAAAAGGTCATCACCGGAAGAATAGCATGGTGCTACACAAATTATATATGAAAAAGGAGTCACTGGAATAATGGCACAGTGCTACACAAACTAGATATGAAAAAGTAGTCACCAGAATGATGGCACGGTGCTACAAATTAAATATGAAAAAACAGTCACCGAAATGATGGCACGGTGCTACACAAATTACATATAAGAAAGTAGTCACTAGAATGATGCATGGTGACCCAACTTTTGCTAACATAATCATTGGCCAGACGGGCAGCATATATGGGTGCCACCCGCCGGCAGCAAAAGCTCTTTAATTCTCTACCAAGTTAGTAGAGGTTCTGATACCATGTTAAATTAGGTCTTAAGCCTAACTCACACCCCAAAAGCTAGTTCAAAGGGAGAAGGATTGTCCAAGCCTTATAAGGAGTCCACCCATCTCATTAACCACCGATGTGGGACTTGTCATTCTTTAACAAATATGACTAAACATGATCCTCTCTGTTTAAAACTACATCACTCTCACATTCTGAAGTTTAAACTCTCAAAATAACGTTTTTTGTCCAAACACATAATACTTTACTTGGTAAGATACAACAGTGCATCTGAACCCTCTTGTACACTTACCGTCACCACTTTCATCCTCCTTAAAATTTCAAGTTAAGAACTTGTTTGGCATTACTGCTAAACATAGCTTATTTTTAGAAGAACTTTTTTTAAAATAGTTTTTCAGAAAAGTGCTTTTGCAAAAGAGCAATTTGTGTTTGACTAATTCATTTGAAAAGTGTTTTTGATTAGCAGATTGTGTTTGAGTAATTTTTAAAAAAAAATGTTTTTTAGAGTCAAATTACAAAAAAAGACAAGTTGTAATGCACTTTTAATATTAAGATTATTTAATAGAGAGGAATTATTTTAAATATCTATTATAAAATTTCTAATTAAATTTTTATTTTTATTAATTAAAATATACATATTCATATTTTCAATCAATATTATACATTAAAAAATAGTTAAATATTGATGCCATACTAATATGATGATTTAAATATAATTAAAAATATCAAGCAAAATAATTCAAAAATATTTAACAAATTAAATCACTACATACGGAAAATTCACCACAAAAATAAATAAAGTCCTAACTTTTTTTCTTTTTTCTAATCCTGCCAAAGTATTGTTGTTACCTTTTTTCTAGTCCTACAAAATAATATGTAAAATAATATATAAAATATAAAATAATAATATATAGACATCAAATAAAATTAAATTATTATACAAAAATAAAAAATAAAATTTTAAATGAAAGTTAACCAAACTTATGAGATATGCTAATTAATTAATAAAACATATATTGGTAAATATGTATGTATGACGCAGATACTTTGGTCTTGAAAGAAATAAAAATTTTATTTCTACTGTGTTTTTTTAAAAAAAAAACAGAATTATTAGCTTCTTCCCAACAACAAAAGAACTATTTTTGTTTCCCTTTAAAAGCCATTTTACTGATTTGCCAAACACCTTAATTTTTCAAAAGAAACTATAGTTTTTTCTCAAAATAAGTAGTTTTGACCTCTCAACAACAATGGCAAACACGCTGTAAGGAAAGAAAGAAAAAAAAAACTAAGGAGTGGACCAAGCATTTTGCCAAGCTTAATATTGAGCAAGATGCAATTTTAACATTCCTTTTACAAGCAAGGCAATGTGCATATATTGAGCTACTTCTGGATACAAGTGCATTAAACATCATTACAAAGAAAAAGTCAACTTCTATACAAAAACAAAAAAAGAACTTAATATATATGCTTTTATTCTTATGAAAAAATACTTAAATTCAGTAATTAGTAGTACTATATTGTTGTTTAAGCTGATAAATTCAAAATTATATGTTAATCTGGAGGACTCTGTTTATAAATCCACATTTGTGTATATCCATTCCTCTACAGTACGTTTATATAAACACTAAATACAGAATTAGTAAACAGTTATAGACCTGAAGAATGAGCTTGCACTTGCTCGCCGGCGGACTCTGCGGCGAAGGATCGAATTGAAGAAGACGAGAAAGTGAAACCAGTAAGGAATGAGTCAACTCGACCGGCTCGACTCGGACCGGAGTTAATCAAGAGCGAACCGGTCGGAATACGAAGAGCGGTTGACAGAGTTGAAGGTGCAGGCATAAGGCCGAAGACAGATCGGCGAGTTGCATTGCAGGAGATCTCGGTTCCGGTACCAATTCCGGCTACGACGGCGCCGTTAATATTCGGAATAGTAGTAGCCATTTGGTTTCCCTCCCGCAACGGAAAAGAATAGACGGTGGAATTAACTTACCTAAATCTAAGTTTAAGACTTAATTACTTGAATACACGTTATTGCGCAATATTACTAATTTTATTAGATTTTAGTGTGTTGTATCTCGAGATATATTTTATCAAAATTAGATATAATTGTTCTAAATGCAATGTATATCTGAGATATGTAAACAAATATTGTTTGTCTTCCTCGTTACTCTCCTATCTTGCTCGCGTATCTGAGATACATAAACAAAACTCATTCGCCCTTCTGTTTTCACTTGTCTCACTCCTTATTTTACTATATCTGGTAGTAAGATACATGTCAAATTTGGCTTAAAATATGATAAAAATTATTAGTTAATTAGATAAAATGTAATTATTTTAAACTAGAGGGAGACTTAATAAATATGGTACATAGATTTGTGTAATTAGATAGTTTCTCAATTTTTAATGTATAAATATAAAGGGTAACTTATAGAAATTCCACTAATTTAAGAACTAATTATTTAGATAAACTTTAGTTTGTAATATTATGAATCTTACCATAATTTGATGCATCTAGATACATTCAAATACATGTATCTTGGATTCGCATATCTCTGCAATACATAGATAAAATTTCACTCCTCTTCCTCTCAAATCTCGCTCACCTTTCTCTCTATTTCATTGCATCTGGTAGCAAAAAACATATAGCCAGGTATATCTAACTTGAAATTTTTTATAAAATTATTAAATAGTAAGATAAAATATAATTATTTCAAACTATAATGAAAATTAATAAATATTATAGGAATTACCAAATATTAATAAGTTTGATTATATATTGGTTAAACTCTCTAAAAATATTATCGCATGTCAAATCTTCTCAAAATGGTATAATTTTAAAAAAAGATTTAACACAAAATACGACAATAATGTTTGAACAAAATCTCAAGTTACACAAGTAAAGATAGTAGTTACCTTTGTTGCGTTACTCTTTTTTCTACACGAATAAAACGAGTTGACTTATGACTATATGTATCATTCGACGGCAAGAATGATACATATAGTAAAAGGAAGAAATTATCGAGTTAATTTTTTAAATACAAATATAGAGTCTAGGAAAAAATTATTGGGTTTATTTAAATCCACATGAACTCGCACTTAGCTCCGTCCTTATTGGAATCTCATAAAATTTTGAAATATTCACAATTAAAAAAGATCAAGTTATTAAATATCATTTTTGCTAAATCATTGTCTGACGTTCCTAGAAATTAAATATATTACAGGGGGATTCATGAATCATACCTTCAAAAAATACGCTATTAAAAACCAACCAACCTGGACATTTTTTTTTATTCCTACCGAATATCAAAACAAACCATAAGGATTTTTTCCAGCCATGAGTTCCCCTATGACATAAGCGCTCTTGGGTGGGGTGGACCATTCCATCAAATCTTTGAGAAGGGGCTCAGTCTCGTATTTGATGGTCGGCGTGGCGATAGACTTCGTTTCTACGACTGTCTTCCCTGAAAATCGCTTTCACGCCGAGATTGATTCTCTGACGGTGGGGTCTTCAACTGGTGCCGGAGTTTGATCTTGGTGCCTTGACGGAACTACACCTAAAAGAACAATGCTAAAGAGGAACTCCACCCTGCCCAACCTAATCGTTTGGAATTCAACCTTTTAGCAGTGTATATAATCCAGAAGTAGTTATAGATGCAGACGATAAGTTATCGTCTTATCTTCATTTTATTTAAAGACCTTGTAGGGGTGGAAATAGGAATTTAGATAAGCTATGACTCTAGCATAAAAAAGAGCACATTAATCCCGGAGTTGTGGATGATTGAGACAGCTAACTCTAAGATCTTTTTCGTAGTTTCCCTTTAATAAATTGTACACATTGATTTTGGTGAGAAATGATTGGGAGAAGGATAGTGCACCATCCATCAATCCAATCAAACTATATCTGTCAACTTTCACATGTGCATAGGAAGACTAGAACATGTTTAATAAGCCTTGGTAGACCTTCAAATCAAGTTGAAAATTCAAGAACAAAAAACAAGAGAGGAACGTAATTATACGTACAAATATATATTCATCAATAAAAAATTTGTATTTCGTCATATTTTATTTGTGACTTTAGTTTATTTTTTATTTTGTTGCAAACAAATTACTCAGTTCAAGCTACTAATGCACTTGCTCTTTAAAAGATTTCATTTTAAAAAGGGAAAATTACGCGGATAAGCAAACATAGTACTAGTTAATTAGTTAACATAACTACAGTTTGTCTTAATTACAATTCGCGACCTACTTTTAGCTATAATTACACGGCTCAGCTTTTTAGTTTTGTATGATTTGCATGTTTGTATAATATAATTTGTATAACTTTTGTATAATGTAATTTTGTATAATATAATTTATATAAACTGTTTAAAGTTCAGATGTTTATATTTGTATAAATTAGTTATTTTGAGTTTATACAAAAATAACAAAATTATACAAATGTATCCGCAAATTATACAAACTCACCCGCGAATTATACAAACGAGACAGCTTAAATTATAGCTACAACCCGTAAATATACAAATTACAGTTATAAAATATATTAAATTTATTATAGTGGCTATTTGCGAAAGTTCCCTTTTAAAAATATTTATTTCTCCATTGTATATATAGATTAGCAAATTATATGAACATATGATGAAACCTTCCAAAAGTTGTTGAGATAATTAATTACAGTGTCAATAGTTGGAGGTCATGATTTTCTACTCTTAAAATAATTTAAACTGTTAAATTAAATTGTTTACCTAACAAAAATTTAATTAAGAATTAATAGTGCACTTTACCTAGTTAATTAAATATATTCGAATAATTAATATACTACCATATTAAAATTTTTATTCCAAAACAAGTATCACGTTATTGTGTATAATCAAAGTGATGGGACAAAGAGGATCCTTTAACAATAGATTTACGTAGACCAAAGGATGTGGTGCAGTGGATGAGTCTGTCTTCCCTTAATTAGAATCTCAAATTCAAGTTTTGGGTATAAAAAAATTTCTTAAAAGAGAGCACTACCTCAAATAGGATCTACCCGTGAATCTGAATTAGTCGGACTCCAATGTTGATACCAAACATCGGATGATTTTTTTTAATATCTTTTTTGCATGTCTAGCCAAATTGATATATACTTATATTATTTCACAACCTATTTTTCAAATTAAAAGTCATATATAATGTCTAACTTTTGAATATAATAATCTTTTCGATATATTAGTTAAAATAAATTTATTTGATATAACTATTCGAAATATGAAATTTACTAGTCTACTAGTCTAATCATATAGGGGTCATTAAAAAGAAAATCACTCTAAACTCAAGATTCGAATTCAAAAACTCAAGTGAAGAGCGTAAGGATCGTGCTTATTCTTATAAAATAATATAACCACATACCCTTGTCCTACCTTAAGCACTCTTTAATGTTTATGTTTGTAAATAGACAAAATTTGAGAATAACAAATATAATAGATATAATAAGGCTCTATAGCTATAATTTTGATAATTGCGTTCTATAACTATAGTTTCATTTGCTATGGAGGCTGCGGTTTGTATATTATTTCGCTTGCGAATATACAAATAGAGTAAGTATATACAAATTTCTGTATTTATACATTTAGAATTTTTTCAGTACTCCGTTAATTTGTATATTTTGCTTGCCAATATACAAACAAGATTAATTATAGTATGATTTTTTCATAAATCGTATACAAATAGCTAGAGTAAGCATATACAAAATTATGAATTTATACAATCAAGAACCAAATTATACAAATTTTGGATTTATACAAATCAGACAAATAGCAAAAATTAAGAAAATTATAACCGCAAATTATAATTTTCTTAAACTGTAGTTATAGTACTTAATATAGGCTACATGTTTGTCATTATTCCGCATATTTTCCCTTCTAAATAAGAAACTACCGTCCAAATCAAAACTCATAATTTTGAATTCATCACTAAAGACAAATGACCTTTTTATAATATATCATCATTCAATATTTAAAATTTATTGATTCAATTAATTCAAATATGCATAATGCGTCTCATATAAGATTGATTGAAAAATATTATCATTTTCAAGATTCAAACTCGAATCTTCTATTAGAAATAGAAGAATCTCGTCCCCACTAAATATATTCATGTTTAGATAAGAATACAAAGTCCAATAGATTAAATTCCTCTTCCACACCTTACCTTCCTTGAAAGAAGCATTTCATTCAAGTGTGAAAAGAGGAAAGATATTATATTGTGGTTGGTGAAAGAAAGAAAAAGCTACTTTTAGACAAAGAAATTAAATAACAAACATGTAGGTAGATAAGTAGAAACTATTAAAAAGAAATAATTAGTATTGAAAAACAAATTAGTCTAGAACTAAATAAAGAGATAGGGTAGTGTGGTGGGGGTGGGGTGGGGGGTCAAAAAAATTCAGCTACCCAAACCAAACTTTAGAAACTTTGAATACGTCCAAGTGCCATGAATCAACTTTTCAACAGTATAAAATCCATTATTAAAAAATCGCTAATTTTTAACGGATGTTTTTATCAAAATGCAACAGAAATATAAGATTTTTGATGGAATATTCATTGGAATAATGATGGATGTGGAGTGTAACCCGTGATCTATGAATTAATCGAAAATTAGTAGCTTTTTGTGGAAACACATATGATATCTATAAATATTTGACTTTTTATAGTTATTCTGATGTATAAATTAAACTTGAAATCGTTATAAGGATTCATGTAAATTTGGGCCAATTGTCGATAGACTATGTCAGAAATTTTGGTTGGAAATTTGTGTGTTTTAGTTGTGTTTGAAATGTATTAATTAATCTAATTAAGGACATTGATAAAATCATGATAATTATTCTTTTTAGAGTAATTGTAATATGTTCCTTTAATTATATAGACATGCAAAACTGTTAGTTCTTTTTTTAATCTCATGTTTGT